TCTTCAGATGTTTTTTAAGATGAAACTCGTTAAGATGAAACTCGTTAGTGATGCTCGTTAACCATTTTGAGGATCTTCAGATGTTTTTTAAGATGAAACTCGTTAAGATGAAACTCGTTAGTGATGCTCGTTAACCATTTTGAGGATCTTCAGATGTTTTTTAATGAATGAAACTCGTTAAGATGAAACTCGTTATGATGAAACTCGTTAGTGATGCTCGTTAACCTATTTGTGGATCTTCAGATGTTTTTTTATGAATGAAACTCGTTAGTGATGCTCTTTAGCCTGTTTGTGGATCTTAAGATGTTTGTTTTTAATGAATGAAACTCGTTAAGATGAAACTCGTTAAGATGAAACTCGTTAGTGATGCTCGTTAACCATTTTGAGGATCTTCAGATGTTTTTTAATGAATGAAACTCGTTAAGATGAAACTCGTTATGATGAAACTCGTTAGTGATGCTCGTTAACCTGTTTGTGGATCTTCAGATGTTTTTAATGAATGAAACTCGTTAAGATGAAACTCGTTAAGATGAAACTCGTTAAGATGAAACTCGTTAGTGACGCTCGTTAACCTGTTTGTGGATCTTCAGATGTTTTTAATGAATGAAACTCGTTAAGATGAAACTCGTTATGATGAAACTCGTTAGTGATGCTCGTTAACCTGTTTGTTGACCCAGCAGCAGGTCTTCACCATGACTCAGAACCTGCAGACGGTCTTGGTACTTCAGGGTCTGAACGATTCGCTGACTAACCGTCAGCTGTACTTCACGCTCGCCCTGACGTCGTACGTGTTCACGGTGTTGGTGAACGGGACGCTGATGGCGGCCGTGTGCCTGGACAAGGCTCTGCACCGGCCCATGTACGTCTTCCTGTGTAACCTGTGCTTTAACGGGCTCTGCGGAGCYTCTGGGTTCTACCTGAAGCTTCTCCTGGACCTCCTGTCCGACGCTCACGTCATCTCGTACGTCGGCTGCGTGACGCAGATTTTCGTCACCTACACCTACGTCTTCTGCCAGTTCAGCAGTCTGACCGTCATGGCGTACGACCGGTACCTGGCCGTCTGCCAGCCGCTGCGTTACCAGGCTCTGATGACGGCCCAGCAGGTGGCGCTGCTGCTGCTGCTCACCTGGTTCTTCTCGCTGCTGGAGACCGTGGTGGGCGTGGCCCTGGTMGTCCGGCTGCCGCTCTGCAGCCGCTCCATGCCCAGGATCTTCTGCACCAACTGGGAGCTGGTGAAGCTGTCCTGCTCCGACGCGAGCGCCAACAACCTGTACGGCTTCGTGCTCATGGTCCTGCACCTGACGCAGACCGCGCTCATCCTGCTCTCCTACGGCCACCTGGTCCAGACCGCCGTCCGCTCTCCGTCCGGCCGCAGGAAGTTCGTCCAGACGTGCGTGCCGCACCTGGTGTCGCTGCTCGTCTTCTCCGCCTCGCTGCTGTTCGACATGCTCTTCTCTCGTTACGGTGGCGGCCACATGGCGGCGCTGCAGAACGCGCTGGCCGCAGAGTTCCTGGTGGTCCCGCCCATCGTCAACCCCCTCATCTACGGTGTGAAGCTGCAGCAGATCAGGACCCGGATCCGCCTCTGGATCACCAGCAGGCAGCAGGGGCCGCCGTAGAGCGACACCAGGGGCAAAAATAAAAACTGAAAAATAAATACTTTTTGTTTTTACTGAAAATTATATTGTTTTCAAAATAAAAGTTTTTTAAGTTCAATTTAAAAGTTTTTATTTTAATTTAAATCTAAACTGCTGACAGGAAGTCTGAAC